CCTACCCCACGTCTGTTTTAAATGTGAACCAGCAGCTTAAAAGAAGGTTAAATAGTGATGCTCCTTTAAGAGAGTCTCTTCCTATTCTCTGTTGGAGGTTCTCTTTAGTTTCAAACTTAAAGATAAAATCTTTAAAGAGGTCCAGCTTGTTCAGCTTCCTGTTGACATTTGAACATCTGACTTCCTTAAAACTCAAATACAACATATTTCCTTTTATGGTTAAATATGCAAACTGCACGTAGCAGACCTTAGTGAAGCACATTAACAGGAAGCCTGTATTCCTCATTTACATAACGGATCCTGTGAATGACTGCGCTGCAGGATATAAATGATAGAAGTTGTTCAATCAGATAAAAGGTTCATCCTTTTATTCATGCAGGTTGTTGATGTGGCTTTAAAAACCCTTTTTTTTGGCCTTCATCGTTATTAATAACAAACTGTTCATTTTTATGTGTTAAAATTCTCAGATTCAGAAGAGACCGAGGGATCAGACCTCAGGATGGTTCTGGTTGGCAGAACTGGATCTGGAAAAAGTGCAACGGGAAACACCATCTTAGGCAGGAGGGTTTTTAAGGCTGAACTGTCTTCTTCCTCTGTAACATCAGCGTGTCAGAAGGAGATGGGGCAGTTTGAAGGTCAGATTCTGTCCGTGGTCGATACTCCAGGTCTTTATGGCACCTTTAACACGGAGGAGGAGCTGAAGATGGAGATCGGCCGATGCATCTCCTTCCTGGCTCCTGGTCCTCATGTGTTCCTGGTTATACTCCGTCCAGACAGATTCACTAATGAAGAACAAAAAACAGTTGAGCTAATTCAGGAGGTCTTTGGAGAACGGTCGGCAGCGTACACCATGGTGCTGTTCACTCGAGGAGATGAGATGGAGGAGGAGGGCATCTCCATGGAGATGTTCATTTCTAAAAATCCATCTCTCCGTTCGTTCGTCTCTCGCTGTGGTGGAAGATATCATGTCTTCAACAACAAAAGAAACAATCCAGAACAGGTCAGAGAGCTGCTGGAGAAGATCAACAGGATGATCGAGATGAATGGAGAGAAATACTACACCAACGATCTGTTAGATAAGGCTGAGAAAGCCATAAGAGAGAAGATGGAAAAACTAATGAGGAAGCACCCTGACATGACGGTTGATGAAGCACGAAGACGAGCAGAGCGCAAAAATCCTTTCCTTAAACTTCTAGCAGCTGGAGTTGTGGAAGCTGGAGTGGGAGCTGGAGTGGGAGTGGGTGTAGAAGTGGCTGTTTTTGCATCCATTGGAGCTATAGGGGGACCAATAGGAGCAGCTGTTGGAGTGGGAGTTGGTCTGGCTGTAGGAGGTATAGCATTAGCAGTAAAGAAGAAGGGCTGTAAAATCCAGTAATTAGCTGCTATGATCAGAGGGATCACTGAAACAAACAACCTGCTGGGCTTCCGAAGGAAGAAGCATTTTCAATCTTATTGTATAATTGTTTGATAACGATGATTTAATTGTTTTTATGCTTAATTGGACTAAATTATTTCTATTTCTCTGTGTAACTTTCATTTGTTTATTCTGGCTGTGGGTTTAAATACAATGAGATGATGCTAAAAGAGGCTTTTGGTTTCTGAATGTAATCATTTCTAATCTCTGTTCATAAAAGCAGTTAAAAAGCTTCATAATACATTTGTTTCTCTTTTGTTTGTAGTTTAGGGTTTAAATCATTTTAAAACTTAAGCAAATTATATTTTCAGTGGGTTGTTAATTATCATTTACAGTCTGTAAAGTTTCTGAGTTCAATGCGACTCTTCCTCTAGTGGATTTATTGGGACATCATTAATCGTTACACTATATGGAGATAATTCTTTCAAATATTCAAATCTGTTTGATTATATTTTTCTTCATAATCTTATCATATATCACAGTACAGACTCAATCTGAGGTTAGGCTGAGCCTAAAACAAAACATAATTTGGAGATGATTAGCAGTGAGAGTGGAGGTTCATTCTGGGTACAGTGATAATGAAACTCTGCTAGTGACTCTAAACAGTGACAGCAGCCTAAACAGTACAGCCAGAAAAACAAAAAAATAAATGAAAAAATGCAGGGAATAAATCCACCTTTCTTGGAGAAAAGAGCTTTTCAGCAAGATGTGAACAAGTTAAACCTTTTGCATCTAAACTCTTCTATTTAGTAAATGATCTTCCAGCCACCTCAACCTTTAGCAGAGTACATGGTAACAACAACAATCATCAGGCTGCCACAAACAGCAGCTGAGACAGAGATAGCCATGCAGCTTGTTAGAAAGAGACAAGAGGTCTCTGTGCCGAATCCAATTTCTCTGGATTCAGCATAAAAATCAGTGCTTTGTGAGGCTAGAAGGCTGTTCACTGTGGAACTCAGGAGGATAGTGCAGCGCTTATAACAGCCCTGTGCTGATTACATAACAGTGCCTGTTTATACTTACTATATTAAGTACAAAATACAAAAGTTATAACAAAAAAAAACTTAAAGACGTAAAAAAAAAAACAAATAAATTAAAATATAAAAGAAATCCCATAGATATGACATCACAGATGCACCATTCATACAAGAAGGGAAAACATTTTGAACTAAGGATCTTTAGCCTGGTTGATAGTTTCAGTCAGTCTGCAGATATAGGACTAATTATACAAACAGCCTGAGATCTATGTGTTTATGTATATATATATATATATATATATATATATATATATATATATATATATATATATA